TGCTTATTTTGCCACCAACATATCTTAATGCTACCTCTTGTTCTCAGGCTTTTCCAAACCATCTGAAGTTCAGTGAGGGACTAACTCTGAAAGGGCCCTTTTTGTCTTGTAAATATTTTATTTTTGGAGGGTAACCCACAAACCCTGCATTTAGAGAATCTGGATTGAAGAATTCATTGTACACATCAACAAATAGAGAATTTCTACAAGCATCTGCTACAGATGATTGGGATGCCTTTCAAACTCATGTCCAGAAACACTTGCAAGTGAAATATATCTTGGAACTGCCACACTTCTTTGTTTGCTTGAAAAAACAAAAAAAGTTTCTCTAACCATTTATTTGGAAAGGCTTGCTTGTTTTTTTATGTTGCAGTGTCATGTTGATAGTCTGCAGCAAGCCACTAACCAGTGAGAAATTAGTTTGGCAAGCCAAGGGAAAGGAAGGTTGATCACCACTACCATGCTGTTTTCTAACTGCTAAATTTTAAAGCTCTATCACAAAAAAAAAAAAAAAAGGAAAGGAAAAAAAGGTGGTACACTGACAAGCTCTATCCAACATCTACATTGTGTTTGACAATGCACATCCGCATGCCAAGAGCCAGACCTTTTTCTGAGGAACAGCTGTAGAGGAAGGAATAATTTATTATCCGTAGCTCAAGAGGGGAAAACTGAAACAAACAGGGAGGCTGTGGTTTGTCCAAAATCCCAAGGGAACTTCATGCAAATGCCCAGGGCATTCATCACATAACTTAACCATTTTGCACTTCTAATTGTATATTGTATGTTCTGATCTTGCTGTAATGTTACACCTACTTACTTCACGTCCCTGACAGGGGACTTAACATAAAAGGTACCTGTGTTACAAGGTCTTGATAATATCATCCAAAGAGACTTTAAAACACGGACATTTTTGTGGTCACTGCAAAAGCATGTACACTCTTAAGTTTTGCATTGTTTGGACTGATAGGAAAACCTGTGGTCATTGTTAAGTCCTGTGGGCACTTTGATGTATTTCTAAATACGTTTCCAGGTTAGGAGAAGTAGTGCTTACAGATCCTTTTCCTAGCTAGAACTGTACTAGCTCTACGTGTACTTCTCTGTCCAGAAGTAGCACTGAAAATGTTAGCTCATGTCACAGGACTGACTTGCAATAACCAGTGAAGGTCTCAGCTGGTTGGTAGCTTCCTATTTGAGGTGCGTGCTTAACTACGTCCTAAATTTGACACAACAATGGCAGCTCAGCAGGTTTGCTGGAGAGATGGAGCATGGTGTTGTTTGTTAAGTGAGAGCTGTTTGCGCACCTCCTCTGTTTTAGTCAGGAGAATGGGGCATATGATAGGCTTATTGCAATGGCTTTTGCAGGACTAATACTTTATCCAAAACTTGTGCAGTGGTTTGCATGTCTTTGCAGCAGCTGACAGTTTCCTCTTCATATCAGTCATCTTGTCTAACTGCTTCCAGGTTCAGTGTGGTTAGGGGAGTGGTACCATTAGGCTTATTTTGTGCATGAACTGCCAGCCTGGTGGGAAGAATGAATGAAACTTCTGACATTTAAGTGGCTGGAGGGATTGGAAGTCTTAAGCTGAGCCAAAGCTAAAATGGAAGGTATTGGAGATCCCTTAAGAGAGTGGGTGGCTCCAGATCACTGAGCAGTGGAAGCCCAAGAAATGACAATGGTGGATCAAGAGAAAGGGATATGTAATATTCAGGTGGAGCAAGACAAAGAAGATCGCTGCTGAAATGGGATATGCACATGCAGAGAGGGGATTCATTGTTGTAAAACAGGAATAACTCTGGATGTCAGTGGAGAGTCTGTTGTAAGTCTAGGAGAGAGGCTAAAGTCTGGATTGCTGCTGTGGCAAGACTGTCAAGTGGGGAAAAATAGAAGTTTTTTTTAAGGTAACGTGTAGAATCCCGTTTTGAAAAAGAGGAACCAGTTGTGTTGCACTCTAGTCCTGATAGGATGTTAAAACCTTCACCAAAGGGAATAATCATGCCAAAAAGATTGTGTAATCTTTTCTGCAGGAGTATTTACTTTCCTTGTATGCTTTATTGATACTCAAAGTGTTGTTGTTGGCATGCTAACGATGAAAGGCACAATTCTCATTTCTGCATTATCGTTTCAGGCCTTGTGGAGAGATTTTATTTTTTGTGCATGCGCATGTTGAGAGAATAAAGCCAGGACATAGCTTTTAGAAGAAATAAAAGCTGTGTCACAGGAATAAGTAGCAGTCTGTTTGCCCTCTCTACAGTGCCTTTCCACAGTTTTCCCAGGATGTGCAGAAGGATGGACGAGATCTCCCACAGTTCCTTGGAAAAGAACCATAGACTCTTCAGTTTGTTGTAGGGCTAAGGATTTGCCTCTGGGCATCTTACTAGCTGTCACAGATAGAGCATCAATGAGGGCACAGTGACTGGGGAAAGATTTTCCACTGTGGATGTTCACAACAGGGCTAGACACATCCAGGTAGTGCATTTGTCATTTAGATTAGATGCTCAGTGAAGACGTAGCCTAAAACTCCTTATATTTGCATATACTAGAAAGGAAACATAACGGCAATTTTAAAATGGAGGAAATGGATCCTCTCTTACAGCAGAACTTGACAGTGCTATTTGGGCGACTGATTATCCTGATAAACTGTGATACCATCAACAGTATCCCAAAAAGGAAAGGGGTGCCCCATTATAGTGTATATCTTTATAGTGTTTTTCATATTTAAATACATTTAATGACAGAGGTATTCAGGAGAGTAATATGCACATTTTTTAGTTGCTGTCTATAATAACTGATGATTTCAAACTGACACTAGAAATGTCATCCTTCTTGACAGCACAGATCTGATCCAAAATCTAACATGCTAATAGTTCTTGATAAAAGCAGTGACTGGATCAGACTAAAGTATTCAATATATTGATGTTATAAGAGCTAGAGTCTGCTTTTTATGTGTCACTATAAAATAGCAGCTCTTCAGGATCTGTACAGGAATAATTAATTTTGCCTAAGTACACAGTGCGTAGCAACTCTTATTTGAAAACTTCATTTATAGTTTTTGTCTGTCAAAGCAAATATACACCTAAGAGTTTCTGCATTAATTAAACACTATTCTTACTAAATTAAGTGCTCAATTATTGTATAGCACTGAATATTTTTGGTCTTGTATTTCTTGTCTGAGATGATGATTTAGACTACTGTTACCTGTTCCTGCATATGTGGCACAGTATGATTCTCCAAGAGCTTTCTGTTGGTATAAATTGCCTGGCTTATCTCACCCGCTAAAAGCATGTGGAGTCCTGCTGGTGCATTGAATAACAATTTAGCAGCTGGATGGAGGACTTGTTCTGTATCTTCTTTCCCTCAGTCTTGAGACAAGGACATCCCTAGTCACCGTAGGGAGAAAGTATGCCTTCTCCTCTGCTGTCCTTATGTTTCAAAGCAGTGGGCCAAATTTACTTTTATCAGTTTTCTGAAATTCTACTGTAGGTTATGATATTTGATATTGGCTACAGAGATGGACACTTAGGTTTCATGCACTGAGCCAGAGACTCAATTAGCTGGTTCGCATGTTATCCCTCCCTGGCTCTAAGCTGCTGGTGCAGCACAGACTCTCTCCAGCTCAGCAGTCCAGGGTTGGAGCTGCAGCTGGTTGCCCACCCTTGGGATCTGCTGAATGGCTGTCTGGCAGAAGATGTAGGAAGGCAGAAAGGTCAAGGCTCTGTGCTGTAACAGAGGATGTGCCAGCTAGCAGAGCTCTTCTGACATTTGACTTGATTCTTATCTGTGTAACCCAAAGTTTAGGGATATCACAACATGGAGAAGTCTGTGTACCAAAATCGGACTGTTTCACAATGGGCAGCATTCCAGCAAGAATTAGCACTGTGCCTTTGGAAGGCTTGATAGGATTTCTCTCAAACAGCTGCTGACACTTGCTATTATAGATACAGATCAGTGCAAAGTAGCCTTAGAGCATGTCTGGGACTCCAGGTTCTGGTTTAAAGGAGCAAACATTTTCTGAAGATGTGATATGGCCACATGTGTAGCTGGCTACATAGACGAGTAGGTCTGCAGAAAATCTAGCATTGACTTGCTGATGGAAGACTTGTGTTGTTTCAACGTGACTCCAATAGAACTTTGTCTTGGTACCGTAATCTTTTCCATATCGATACCCGCTAACTTTCACTGTAGGTAGAGCTATGAGGCTTTGTGGGGAGAGGAGAGGCTTGTCTCTGTGCTGCACAAATTGGTTGATTATTTTTTCCCTCTAATTAATTGTTTTTTGAGGTCATTTCTCAAAGAGGAAGTCAGTACAAGATACAAATTACCCTTGTAATTTGAGAATTAGAAAAAATTGAATTTTGAGAAAAAATATTTTTGAGAATTTAAACTTGGTTCATCATAACGCAGTAACAGTAACAAAATGCAGAGTTTTGTCTTGTATTAAGAATTTGATCCTTTATTTTCTGACTAGTTGAGCAAAATCTCTAAATATTCTAGCCGGATTCCCCTTCTCCCCCCAAAAAAGTAAATACATTTTGTGTTTATAGGAGATGCCAAAAATGATGCTGCTTGAAATCTCTAAAGGGCCTAACAGTGTGAGTCATATCTACAAAAAAAAAAAAAAATTGAAATTTTAGGAACCTAAATGGCTTAGACACCGTGAGATTTCCCTCCCCTGCTGTGGTGAGACTACATGGAAGAGGGAGAACAGTTCAGTCTTCACACCCCTTTAATCCTTTACTGAAAATGACATTATGATATTTTTCTGCTGGGAAGTAGACTGCGACCAGAAGCTTATTCCATTTCATATAAATCACCAAAACATCATGTAGTAACAAGTTTTGGTTGCTTCAAAGGGAGTTTGGTTTCAGGCAGTGTTTTAGCACTGCAAAGTATTATGTCCCCTTACGAATATTTTATTTTCTCCTTTACTTGCTGCAAGCTTCATGGATAAAAGTGCAATGAGCAGCAAACACGCTTTCTTGTCTTTTTCAACTTCCTGTAGGAGTTCTTCATATTTTCTGCAGAGCTGGGAGAAAAATGTGAAGCAATAAGTGAGAAATTGGTGCGTCTGGAAGATCAACTGCAAACTTCAGTCTGCAAAGTTGATGAAGGAGTTATTCATATCCTTTTTGATATATTTATATATATGCATCGTCTCTATGTGTGTGTGTGTGTACATATGTGAAATACTTTCAGATTCACATAGAACACTTTTTTTAATGTAGATTTAATATATTAAGAAAGAGGGAATCAACTGTCTTGCTGAAGTGGACATTTTTGTTACAGCAAGTTTTTCTGTGGTACATTTTTACTGTGGCCTGATCCAGCTTTAATTGATTTAAACAAAAATTGCTTCCTTGTAAATCGAGATTAGGCATTGAAATACTGTTATTCTACTGTTCTAATTCTTTTGTTTATAATGCCCATATTAGTAAATATCTAATGCACCAAAAGGTACATGGAAACAAGCATCCATGCATCTCCATTTTCCAACATGATTTAACTAAATCAAGTGATACATCATTGACTCTGACTGTGTATATTGTCACATTTAATGTGGCCTTTGTTCCTTTTGCAAAAATGGAGAGCAGATGCATCATGTGGCGTCCTCTGCAATTTAATCTGCTTCCAGCACTCCAGTGCCACTTACCAGATGAGATGTCTTATAAAGCATCCTTATCTCTTTCTGTGTTTCCTCTGTCATTCAGCATCTGGTTGAAGATTGCTTAACCTTTACAGAGACATTTGTTGGGCCTACTCTGTGGAAATTTTTTGACATTCAGGAGTGCAGAATTTTTTTTATTTCCAACTTCCATAGAAAAACTTACGACAAAAGAGATTTTGTTCTTCTGAGAAAGGGAAAAGAGCCTAAGAACCAATGAGGGACAGGAAGATGAGAGTACTTAGTTGCTTAGTCTTGCATGGAGAAGTGTTGGGCAGATGGATAATGAAGAAAGGTGAAGAAATTCAGGTTTGAAGAGATTACCATATCACACTTACAGGTGCCTGAAGATGAGTTGAGGGTGACCATGGCGCTAAGAAGGATTCAGTTCCTCCTACTTTTGAAACAGAGATTGAAACAGTCTTGCAGGAGAGAGTTTAGAGAGGGCTAAGGCAAAACTAGAAAGGGTAGTAGATGGAACGTGTGGAGATACTACATTGTTTTAGCTAAATGGGCATCTGTTACCACTTATTGCAAAGTCTCCGTTATACAAATCTGATCCCTTTAAACCTATGGGGATGTTAAACTTCATTGCAGAGGAAGATTGTTTTCTTATTTAGCATAGACCACTATGCAATGCTGTGAACTTTCGTTATGGTATATGTGCTCCCTTACAGTTTTGTTTCCCCTAACGCTGTTTACGAGCATTCTTTTCAAAGCTGTATGCATATATATCTCATGTAGGAGCAGGATATCTACTTCTTTCCTCGCTTAACATATATTTGCTCTCAAATGAACTTCAGTCAGTGACTCTAATGAACAGAAGAACAGAGAGGGTTGGATTTATGGGCTCTTTTCCCCATCTTTGCAGAGGTCTTAAGCTCATATTCAGACCCAGCAGTCACTATGACAGGTCTAATCATAGTTACTAGGTACCGTCTAGATGCAATAAACTGAAAAAGTGCTTTTTTGATAGCTGAAGAAAATACACTACAAGAATATAAAATAGAAGTATTTATATTTTCTATAGGCCATGCATGTTTCCTTCTAGGTGTTCAAGCTGCAAGAGTTAGTTAAAAAATACCTAATTATTGGAAATTTGAGAAGAATTGTAGATTAATATCATTCTAAACCACTGTCACCTGATCTAGATCCAATTTCAGTGAATTGGATCCAATCTAGATCCAAGTATCAGTGAAATTTAACTCCTGTTATCTAAATACAGAAATACGGACTGATATCTCGGTCCTCCTGGTAAGCCTATGAGTTACAAAACAGGAAGCCATATTTTAAAAATAGGGACGTATAAAGAAGCAGTTCAGCAATTCAGCTACCACCTATTAACATTCAGTTATTTCAAAGGTAGTCAGATCAATATGCATAAAAAGTTACCATCTGGTATATATAATCACTACACTACACTTCAAAAAGGAATGAAAAAAGCAGCTACCACAGTGTTATAGACCTGTAGCTTGCTTTCTAAGTAGAAACTGCTCAGTGCCTATGAAATAAACTCGGGCTCACTGGTAACTTGCTTATATTACACGAACCAGAACTGAGATTAGCACAAAGATTTGCTCTCAGCAGAAGAACTGATGATTAGTAGTTGGGTTTATTATTTCCACAGTAGTTTATTTGGTTTTAAAAGAAATCATTTCGTATCTCAAATGCTAAGCAAATATGCAGTCTTCATTAAAAATTTGTAGAATTCTCAGAGTAAGGGCTTAAAGATCTGAAATTGTAATGAAAGCAGTATAAACTTTCCAAATTCTTGTTTTCTAGTTATTTTTGTCTGTTCTCCTCACCTTCCCCTCCTCCCTACCCCCCCCCCCCCCCCCCAAAAAAAAAATGCCTTATACATGTAAATATTGCAAACTATTAGATAAAAAATTTGACGGGATGCTGCACGGATATAATTAGTCCTATTGTCTTATTATTAAAAAAGCTTTTAAAGACCCTATTGAAAAAAATGAATTCCTGATGCTCTCAAGCCATTTTGCCAATGTTTAGTGTGTGTCATAGCTTTGATTAATAATTAAGTTTGTAGTAGAAGAAAAATCCCAGATGTCATTGTTTTTCATTCTACATTTTGATGGCAAAGAACATGTGAATCGACCATGCTGCTAGTAATAATTGCCAGTGCAATCTGAACAAAGGGGAAATCTAGTGATATTTCTTTGCCCTGAGTATTTGCACAGACCCACTTGGGATTCTCATTTAATATTGAAGTTTTTCACAGCAAATATTAAACTGTACTTTTGTATGAAAAGCATCAAATAGGGGGGAAAAAAGCTCATTTGTAGCACTCTGACAGATTCACTAAATTCTGTGTAGTGTAACCAAATAAACCCACAAAACGTTCAACTATGGTTAATCATTGGCAAGTGTATGAAAACAGTCCATGTCATTAAGTGGAAATACCAAAGGAGGAGAGGTGACTCATTGCTGGTGTCTGCAGAGCTGATGAGAGGTGTTACTTTCCTGACAGTAAAGGCCTGCCTTTCCCAGTAAAATTAAATGGACCCTATATTGCAATTTCAAAGACACTTTTGTTCTTAATTAGCAGTTACATTTTGATAGACAATTTAAATGCATGTAATAGTGTCTTCTAGTGAAAATGCTTTTGTTGAAAGAAAACCTGGCTGGACTATTATTTTAAATGCATAATCTCCATTCCTTGTCCTAAAACGGGCCTTTCAAACCATTATTTTCAAAACGGAGTTTTGTACCTAAACACTCACTAGGCACTGCAGGTCCCTCACGTTCATCATAAGGGCAAGCTCTCGTATAAGCCACACCAGTGTAGATTTATAGCAGAATCAGGAGCCTAGAGTTTAGTCTCTATCTGTACCTCACTGAGAAATCCTGCCCTGCGTGAACCTGTAAGAAATTCTGGCAACCTGCAAGAGCAGTAGGTGGCAATGTTCCCTCTTTGGCCTTATTTTGGATGAGAGGAGGTTGGGCTCCTCGAGCGTGAGGTGTGTTAGGAGAAGGTGGTTCCACCTTTGGCATTCTTGCCACGAAGAGGGTAGGTCGACACATTTCCACCCGTACGCTACAGTTTCTTTGCCTTCCATTTTGTGCTGGTACAAGTGTTTTGGAGACTGCTGCTATAGGCAGCTCACTGAAGTGATTCATTTTTCAAAATGTTGTGGTAGTGTTTTTTTTTTTTTTGGTTAGTTGGTTGGTTTTTGGAGGTAGCTTGGCAGGGAGGTGTTTTCTGCAGGGGTGGAGATGTAACTTTATAGAAACATGTTTGTAGCTGTGAAGGAGGGAGACAGGAATGGAGGAGGGGAGTGGAAAATTCTTAATCTGGCTTCACTCCCCCAAGCACCCTTGTGTTTTATGAGGAGAAGGAAGAGAGACTTCCACAGGGCCATTTTGCGCTCTTACTCTGAGACCACACAGATAGGCCTTACATAAAAGAGGTAGGCACTGGGTCAGCATCTTTCCTTTGCTCCCATGAGCGCGCTTCTAAACAGCCAAAGCTCAGGTTGCACCAAGTGAAAACTGAAACCTTTTGCCTCTTTACTGTTCCTTTGGCACATAGATATTGGCACATAGATATCATAGCTCAACATGCAGCTATGTATGGGACATCTAATTGAGCTTCTGTGTCAAGTCGCTGTAACGCTCAGCTGGTTAAAAAAAAAAAAAAAAAAGAGAATAGTTAACCAAGTTTAAAAAAAAAAAAACAAACTCTGATTGATTATGTTCTTCAAGTCTTAATTTCCTCCTCAGATGCCCCAAATTGCTGTTGTTCTTCAAAATCCCATAGGTCCTTACCTCAGCCCTGTGGTAGCCCTTGGCTGTCCTACCAAGGCCTTTGTGGCACAATATGTCCTTAGTTTCTAACCTTTCTTTTGGAAGGCAACTAGTTTGTGATATCTAGCTTATGTCTAGCCTATGCAAACATCTGTGCCGAGAGACGGCACGATAGATTGCTGAGCCAGTAGGGGCCCCCCCCCTTTTTTTTTTTGAAAAATGAAGTCTGCAGTCATTAGATCTGTTTTTAGCCCTGTGTAAATCTCAGGCTCTATCATGATGTGGGATCAAACATCCTTCCACAATGAATTGCTGACATCTTCTTCATATTCTTTGTAAAGAAAGAGTGAGAAAGTCAAATATGTGAAGCACTGCAAACCGAGCCAACATTAGAACTGCAGCAGTGTTGCAGAATACGTGTTATCTTTGTATGAAGCTGTCTCAAATTGCTTTGTTTTCCTGCTTATGCAAAACTGGAGAGATTTTTTTGCCAGTTTTTCACCTGATCACAACCAGGGAGTGTTCCGAGTTGAACTGTTTTACGATAGATGGCTGAGCCAGTAGGGGCCCCCCCCCTTTTTTTTTTTGAAAAATGAAGTCTGCAGTCATTAGATCTGTTTTTAGCCCTGTGTAAATCTCAGGCTCTATCATGATGTGGGATCAAACATCCTTCCACAATGAATTGCTGACATCTTCTTCATATTCTTTGTAAAGAAAGAGTGAGAAAGTCAAATATGTGAAGCACTGCAAACCGAGCCAACATTAGAACTGCAGCAGTGTTGCAGAATACGTGTTATCTTTGTATGAAGCTGTCTCAAATTGCTTTGTTTTCCTGCTTATGCAAAACTGGAGAGATTTTTTTGCCAGTTTTTCACCTGATCACAACCAGGGAGTGTTCCGAGTTGAACTGTTTTGGCTCCTGCCTTCAGCATTGGCTCAATATTTGCAGTACTGGCGAGCAAAGTTAAGCAGTAAGGAGTGATTTGCATGTGATAGTTGCAAGTCAGTAAAATTTTTTGCATTTTTTAAAATGGGTGAAGCTCTTTATCCAGATATAACCTCTGTATATGGCTAGAGATTCCGTGCTCAGTCTTAATACCACATATTTTGCTCAGCCATAAAGGCTAGTTTGAAAGTTACTCGTGTACAGCAGATTGTAGTATTATTCATGAGGTTATTGAAACTTGCTGTGTATAGACTATTCAGGCATCTTTCTTGTTGCGCCATCTTTCTGTCAGCTAAGAGTTGCTTTCCTTGTCTTCTTCATTTTCCTCCTTCCTTCAAGGTTTCTGATTCTCTGGCAGGAAAACATTTGACTTTTGCTTTTTCTCTCTACCAAACAGAATTTTGTAATTATTTGGGATACTACAAACAACAGTGTGTAGTCACAGACTGCATGCACATCAGAAGTAATTAAATATCAGAGGCTTCATGGTGTTCATAAACTGAAGAATGTTTTGCTATTACCAGTTAGGATTTCAACACAGCCTCGTGATTAAGTTGCAGAGTGATGGACAGGCCGGGATCACTTATCAGAGGATAGTAATGTTTCTTACTTCGGAAAAGCTACAAAGCAAAATTAATTTGCCCTTATAAAGTGCTTTGAGATCCTAGACTAGATGTTCAGTGTGCACTAGTATTACTGATTATGAGTAGTTAGAATCCCTTTGGATTAGTAGAACTGTCCAGAAATTAGAAGTATGAACGAATACTCCTGGTAAAAAGTGTTGAGAGTAAAAGCTTGTAGTAAATATATGTAAAAGACATTCATAAAGATGACATCTTGAGGAAGTGAAAACAGAATTAAGTGGCCTAAAGGCCCTTCAGAGGGGTAAGTGTGACTGACTGCCTGAAATAGAGGTGAGTTGTATTGCTTGCCCATCACTTTCTCTAGACGTTTCTCTAGTCATCTAGAATTTTTCAAAAGCAGCAGCTCAGTTTTTACAGTTGCATAACCTAAGGGTGTCGTCTTCTCTCCTGACATTGCAGTAACATTGTGACTGGGTAAAACAACATTTCATAAGGGCTAACGCCTGTCCTTGTGCATTATTCTTCCTGTGTATTATATTTTTGAAAGTGAGTTGTTTCAGCTTCAGCCTGTTTCATTTCCCTTGGAGAGATGCACTTCTGGCTCTCACAGAGATCCTATTGATGATGATCCTATTGCTGTAGATGAACTTACTTAGTTCTCTGTCCCTTGATCCATTTATATTTGCCTTTGGTGGGGGAGGGGGGGGATCCTTGCCCTTTAGCCTTACCTGTACTGGAGGGAGCAGTGGCCTCGGTGAGGTTGTGGCTGGGCCCTGGGGTTTTCTTTCGCATAGACTTTGGTGCTTTAGAGCCTCAGCAGCCTCTGACTTAGCTTGGGTTCACTCTGCCCTCCATGTAGTAAGCTAGGGAAGAGAAGATAAAATTGTTTATCTCATTGAGCTACATGCAGTCCTTGCTCATAGATTCAATGATGGATCGTCTCACTGATGTAAGATTAAGTTTATCAGCAGAAAGGCAGATGTATTGGTAGTATAAACTGTGCTTATTCCCAGGAGGGTCTAGTCATCAGAACAAAAAGCTGTACTACTTGGAAAGCCCAGCGACTTAAAAACTTGTGCATGTCTCAACAGTTGCCGCTACCTCCATGCTTCTCTAGTCTCCCCTTCATCTGCAGATGTCTGCTCACTGTCCACCTCTCCCATTCTGGTTGCTGCCACCTGCCCCCTTCCCTCTGTCGTTTTGGAGCTGGGGAGAGAGGAGAGGGAAGGGTGAGCACCTCTTAAGAGGCAGAGCTATTCGCCAGTATTTTCTTCCCTAGTGCTTTGCAGGAAACCTGAACTATACAACAGCAAATAAAGTGTGGAAAACTCCCCTCTCTCAACCAAATGAAGTGTTTTTACGGAACTATGAGATGTTCTCCAAGTGGCCTTAGTCCCTTTAGCATACGACAGTGAGACCTTGCTACCGCTAATCCATCTCTTTGCTTTTTAGCTTGTTCAAAGCATTCACTGTGGATCCTCATATCACTGCTATATTTTTGTCGTCTGCACTCTAGTTACGCTGATAATTCAGCTAACATTAAAGCTTTCTGGAGGTAAGTGGAGAAGAAACACTTGAGTATAAGCTCGTTTTGCTTCTTAGACACTGCCCCCCACCCCTTTCCTAGCACACATCACCTAGCTCTCTCCCACCACACAGTATATGGTCACTTTGCTTATGGCTCAGACTGCTTCCACTGCCCCATTGCTCTCACCTGGGAGAGCTGGAGGTTTGAGCCTCCTAGGCCTGAGCTGCTGACGTAAAAGAGCGTTCTGTGTCCAGCAGCGAAATAGCAGCTAGTGCTGCTGCTGCCATAGTACAATTTCTTCATCTCCCTTCTTCCCACGAGAACAGTATACAAGTAGTAACTCTCATCCCCTCCCTTTTTTTAAGTGCTAAATAATGCTACTTGAGAACTTCAGATTGCCTGCCTCTTTTTTTTTTTTTTTTTTTTTGAAAGCAAGTGTGAGAAATGTATTAATATTTAATCCAAACAGTTTGGAAGAACTTGAAGCTACAATTAGATAGCCATGGCCATCTGTTGTGAGCAGCAGAACAACAATTTGTTTAATAAGTTGGAAAGAGAAAAGGGGCTGCCAATCACCTATAGATTTATTCCTTAATAAAGCCTGCACAGTCTCTGCAAAGGGAGATCCAGGTGGTGAAGGAGACACTCCAGACCGTGCTGGTGCAACTTCAGCCAGGCAGGGAGGCGGGAGAAGAAAAGGCTGGAGACTTCCTCTGTGACAGCTGGTGTCCAGGAAAACAAGACTTGAAGGAATAATGAGCAGAAAGAGCTGGTAGGATGACATTAATTCACAAAGGTCTGCTTTTAGTAACCGAATACTATTTTACCAAACCTCAGGGATCTCTTCTCTCCCTGCATAACTAATAACTAAATCAATTATGGAGAAACAGAGCCTGGGGGTCTATCATCAGAAGTATGCTACATGGCCTCACATGTTTTGGCACAGATTGAGAAACAGCTTTCAGAGCAGAGCAACTCCTGTAAATGTGCAGATTACAAATTGATACACTTCAAGCGAGTCTGCAAAGTTGCCTTTAACGTCAGTGAAATGTTCTCCTAGAACACTCAAACAATATTGGTCTTCCTTACTCATGGATTTTTTCTCCCCAGTTTAAAAATGTAATATTAAAGCTGGTACATCTAGTATTTCTTGAAAAAGCTGTAAGAATAAGTACTTTTTTCCCTTTGGCTTTAACAGCTTTCTTATACTCAACATATTTTCACATCCCTGCCAATAATTAAATCAATGGGATGAAATTCAAGCTAACCAAGTTCTCTTAACAGAAATTTGGACCTCCTTTACTCAATGGTATTGAGTAGAGTAGAGGTAACTAACAGCAGCCCCTTTCACTGGTAGTTTGTTTTCATTTAGGTATTAATATAAACTTGCTTTCATAGTACAGGGGTTGTTAAGCACACAAAAATTAAAATAATGTTGGTGATTTGTGCTCCCTATATTTAAGGACTGTATGAATAATGCCATTTAAATCTCTTTGTAAAGTTTATTAATACTGTTATATTACTTTGATTTTCTTTGTAAAAGTCAGAAGGAATAGACACGTATGTATACATATGCATACTTAAGTATGTATTTTTATTATAGGAGATAAAATGTTCAACTGAAACCAACTACTATAAATAACCTGTATTTAGATCAGTGTTCAAAACAGTTAATGAGTTTAAAAATTCATAGGCTACTCTTACTTGGATACTAGAATATATCTGATATCACACAGAATTCTGCTTCTGCTGTTTGTTGCAGAGGAGAATTGAAAAAATATATCTCTGGTTAATTACCTGTTCTAAGCCAGTAGATGAAGCAAATCACTTTAGTGATATACTTTTTAGTACTACTTTTGTCTGACATTTTTAGAATGACTGTTTCTGCTAATTCAAGTACTCATTTCACAGCCACATTGTGAAGGTTTTTACAAATTTTGAAGCTCATTGGACTACTCGTCCTGTAAGACTGTGTTTGTTTTCTTTGTGTGTTTTAATAGTAGTTGAAACTTCTACCTCAATGTTAAGTATATAGGGAGAAAATAAGTGCCAGGCAGCTGAGACAGACATACAACAGGAATATAATTGCATCCAGGAGTATACGGTTGTCAAACAAGGGGAGCAGAGTTCAAGTGGTTTCTGTAGTCATCAGATCCTCTGGATGGAATTACAACCCTATAATTCAGAACATGGGTGACTTTTATCTTTGTATAATATAGGGATCAGCATCCATGTTGTTGTTAAGAGTGTTGGATCGTTACCTTGCATGGACTGCAGTACTCTGTTGACATCACCTCTCACAGATGGAGGTCTCTTTGCTGCTCTGCATCCTCTTTGTTTAACAAGTCTCCTTCTCCGGGCTTTGCTGGTTAGTCCCTGTTTGCTACCTACCTCCCCGCTGCTGAGGTGGCACTTTCTGAAATTCCCCCAGAGAGATGAGCAAAGTGTTAGTCATAGGCTCCAGCGAGCCCAACCAAGCACAGGTGGCAGCCTGCTAGTTTTCTGCGAAAGGCTGAAATCCAACCCCATACACAGGACCAGCTCCAGCCTGGGAAACCCTGGTGGGCTCATGTAATGTGACTGCTTGGGGATGACTGTCAACCCCAGAGTGCTCACAGAAACTGGCATGAGTTCAGGTAAACAAAAAGAAAACACACTGACAAAATAGATCTCTCTTACAGCTGTTTCCTGAAGACCAGTAGAAGCTGCTCATGGTTAATGGGTTAACATCATAGAGAGTCCAAATACTACATTTCCCGCAATGAGCATTTACAGGACTACAGGCCCACTGCAGGGACATCCCAGAGAGGTGAACAGTGCACTGAGATTGCACTCACATGCTGAGGAGCGTGCAGAGTTTTGTCCTTTGACTATCTAGTGCCTTTAACATAAATAGTTGGAGGGCTGTAAATGTCAGAGGCAGGGTCTGCCACAGCTGAATTGTGAAGTCTTCCTCCTTGCAGCTCCTAGGACTCAACAATCGGGATAGTAACCCTCATAAGGACAGATAAATAGCACCCTCATTCTCACTAGCAAGAATTTTTGAAGACGTTCTAATTCAATTAAAAAACAAAAAACAAAAAACCTTGTGTGGCTTTCATGTTTCCCAGCTTCAGAATGCCGATGCATTTTAATAAAACATATGCAACCACTTTAATAAGACACTGAACTCCTCAAGAGGAGGGAGACTGAATCTGTCCTCGTTTATGTCATATCTGTATCTATTAACACTTATTTTATACATACTGTGGACTACTACTGCTTTAATTTATTATTGCATTAACTTTACTGTTTGCTGTGGGAAGTTAGAGCCAGTAATCATTCCTTTTCTCAAATATGCTGAATAATAAGCATACTTTAAAAAATAGAGAGTATACTACACAACACATCAGGTGGGTTTTTTTTTTAATCTGTGGATAAAAGATCCTTTCAAATAAAGAATATATTCTTAACTAAACATCTGTCTATTTGCATTCTGAAGAGTTTACAAATTTTTACAAATTTCATCCTGGGATTGGGGTAGGGGGAAAATGGAGGTAGGCAAGGAAGGGGGAAAAACACGTGTGTGACTGTTACCATGCGCTTCATGACAGTGATTTCTCTGCTTGGGAAATTCTGTGATCCCTTCTGGAAACAGTCTAAAAAAAAAAATGCATTGGAGACTGGAGTCCCATAGCAAAAGGTAGGTTTCGTCGATGTGAAAAGGGAGAGAAATATCATCCAATCAGGCACACAGACATGTAAAACCTCTTCTTAAGCCCCAACTCAACCAGTCTCCCTGCGTGACCAAAGCCTGCCTCCTTCCCTCAGTTCCTCACCTAAGCGAGAACAACTCTTCCCTAGCCTGTGGCGAAGGGTCAGGTTAAGGGTAGTATGTAGGACTGTGCACTGCATGTAGCAACTGTTTGAGGTACAGTTGTGCTCACACACCCTCATTACCAGTCTGCGCCATGGTCAAATGACAAGGCTCTTCTCCTTTTGGAGGTAGGGGAGGTGGGGCCCTGAGGACCATTGTCATGCTTGCTTCCTAGGACTGTGTCACCTCCAGGTGGACTGGTCTCCCACCAGCTACAAACATGAATCCCATCAGGAAAAGCCCCTTTCCTGCGTGTCACACATTCTCCCTGTCTAAAACAGCAGCCCTCAAGCGGTTTGAGTACAGAGAGAGGTGTCTTGGCTTTGTGCACAGAAATATCTGAAACAGCATGGGAGAACTGCGAGAGCAACAAGGAGGCAGTGCACATCAAGCAGACCATTGCCTGTGCGCTGCAAGAATAGCTGGCTATGTTTAACACAACCCACGTGCATGCACACATGCACACACGCATACACACACCCGCACACGCACACGCACACACGCACACACCCACGCACACACACACACACACACTCTTTCTCAAGGAAGTGAAGAGGGGACAGTACCCCAAAGACTCCAGCCCAATATTGCTGTTCTCAATCAATTAACTAATTCGATCTTTCTAAACCTTGTCATTTCAGTCTTTTGTTTTTCCTATCATTACTCGTTAGATCAAGACAAGCACCTCTCTTCTAGAGCAGCCACAGAAGGCAGTTGTATAACGGCTACCAGATCTGCGATAGTGCTGGAGGGAGCTCCAGGGTGGGATTAGAATAATCCTCATGTATCCTCTTAGTTTACTATCCTATTAAAAAATGAGACTGGGACCAAGAGATTTTTAGTCTCAGAGATTAACATATGCCACAAAGAAGCTCTAAAATATTATGCACATGAGGATATTTTTCTGCACTGTTAAGGAGGATAATACAAGTTTCTGGAGATATATTAAAAAAAAAAAAAAATCTATCAGTGTAGATTTTTTCTGAACCTGAAAAGCAGCCAAGCCAGCAGCCACAGTAAAGCATTTCTCTCAAATTTCTAATGAAGCCTTAAGTACGAAGCCTAGGAAAAGAGCATCTGGAGTTGTGTGACCAAGGAAACGTCCATGTTTTTAATGTTTGGTATTCAGTCACTCCCTTCTTGTCGCCTTGTCTATAAGGAGACGTGTGTGTGGATGTGTGTTGGAGCACTGGCAAAGACACAGTTGAGGTGAAAATGTCATTAGGATAGTTGTTCTTAAAATGGCCTGCAAAGTTGGACAAGAAGTTTATGATGATACCAAGCAGCGATACAGGACTACAAAGTTAAAAAGAGCGCTAATAGGAAAGTAATCATGGGCATAGCTAGGTAACACATGATAGATCACATGGGAGAATTGGAAAATTAAAAGAACTTGGCACAACGACAATCCAGTTTACAAGGGGAAGAAAACAACCTCAGCGTTATTACTTCTCGGACAATGAAAAATCTGAAACACTAAAGAGGAGCCCCTCAGGGTTAACTTGCTAAGTGGGCACAAAATAGTAAGAATATCAGCTCACTCCCAAAACTTAAGCGTTTGATGCCAACTTCCCAGTGCTGGAATTGCAAAGCTTAGGAAGGCAAAAACCAACCAAGGCTGTCTGCAATCTGCCTCTCCATATACGTGCCTCAGCTCATGAGCACTGTTGTGAAGCGTAATCAGCTGTTGCACATAACTAGCACAGTTACACACAGGTAGCTACTTTGTGCTCGTTGGCAGTCTTTCTAGTGCTAGCAACCGCAATGCAAGATTCATGAGCAGCAACCTGGAGCTGGTTATAGATCTGTGCATACGAGTTTCTCCAGGACTATGCTTGGCATCAGTGTTGCATTGATAGGTTTAGTGATATCCAGGCCAACCTATTCTACACCTTAGCAGGGGGAAGCAAACAACCATCCTTTTTGCTATTTCTGTACTCTTCCAGAAAATTCTCTTTTCCTGTGGTTTTGCTTTACATGGTATTTTCAAGCCACTTCCTATACATCCTCCATGAGGTGAGGCCTGAAATTTAAAGGACTGGGATTATTTCCTTTCTCCCCGACAAATGCAGTAAGGGCAATCAATGAGAGTTACTTGTTCTTAGCTATTACCCAATTACTTTGGATCACAACTTACTACTTTACTCTCATACCGTTCAGGAGTTTACAGTAGCTTCAACGTGACTTCCTGGAACAGCTGCTCAATAATTGACTAAAAGATATTTCTCCACTTAAGTAAGTTCAAGACTAAGAACATGGGGTTACAATCTACAGCAAGACCTTACCAGCACTGCCAACTCTGCTGTTCACACAAAGTAAAGGTGGACGACTTAGGAAGAGAGCTACAAGAACAGCTGGAGGTTAGGAAAAACTTACCTTATAACAAAAGACCAGCAAAGCTCAAAACTTAGCCACCTACAGATCAAGAAGTGACTTGCTCGTGGCCTTAAGTATTTACTTGGGGAATATTTCTGCTGCCTAATGGCCCTTTCATCTAGCAGAACGTTGCATGATGAGATCCACTATACGAAGACTAATAGAAAATATTCATGTTAATGAAAATAAATAAATAAAAAGGTATTTCTAGTAGGAAGCATAATTGACCATTCAAGCTTGGAAAAGTCCAAACAGGCTTGGACTTTTTTCATAAAGTGTGAAAATGAGCCTTCCTACCTGCTAGATGTTGCACATTTGATTCACAAACCACCCCTGCGCAGGTTCTTACAGCCTGCGTTGTGTGTATGTCACGAGGGAATTGTCACAGTGCTTTGATCATTAAATATAAGAATTTTTCTGAATGGCTGAAAAAACAAGCGAACAGTAAGAAATAGTGCTGTGGTAAACTGTTCTGTAGCGGTAGTGATGGAGTTATAAGACAGGACATCTGGATGGCTGCATATCGGAAAAGCTTATTTACCTGCTCTTGTGATTTTATCCAGAACTTGAAAGGGCAAGTGAGTACAAGCAAGAGAAAATTAACATTAAGAAAGGACTTATCATAAATCTTTCCTGAGATGCCATGATTGAAGCTGTTACAAAATGGTTCAGAAGCCTGACTGGGCAGGAGCAGGTATGAAGATGCTGACACAGCTGTCCCACAGACAGCAGCGAGGAGACCCGCAGCCTGTGTTGCCCTGGCAGGCTGCTGGGAATACCCTGGCCCTCCATACAATAGCACACTCCCTGCAATGGCAGGCTGAAAATACTGTCTTGCCATTGCATATCACCACTCAAATCAACCCACATCACCAACCCAGGACACTTATATCGATTTAGCCCCAATGAGGAAGGCTAAGAAAGTGTCTCTGAAACATAGCTCTCCAGAAACCCAGGGCAGAAGTGCCACACGGGGTCCAGTCTGCACCACCGCGACAGCACTTCAGAGCCAGGGATGGTGCGACTACACGCACACACCACTGCCACTCACAGAGGGAAGTGCTGGACCAGAGGGTGGATACGAAAACACGAGGATCAGCAGTGTGAGAGCTGGGGTTTGGTTGCCTCCTTGGGCAGCAAGGTTTCAAGCCAGATTTCCTCCCTCCCAGGAGAGGACAGGTTGAACTGGGATGTGGACACATTTCACAGTACAGTGCCAAGCAGGACACGATGAGGCAGGTGTAGGATTTGGTAGCTGACGAGCCCAGGCAGCGCAGCAGAGCTTGCACTACGCTGCAGCCTGGGAAGCAGCATAGCCGTACCACTTGCAGCATTGCACATCAAGGCAATTGAAGTGTCCTCTGCAAGGGAAGAGAGCCCAAAGAAACCCAACAGTACGGTAGCAATCAAGCACTGTCTATATAGGCTCGGGGTGCTGGTATTTGGTCAGTTTATTGCCGGTTGTTTTCATTAAACAAGAAGGAAAGTGAAAAGAACAACCTGCCTCTTGCAGCCCTACGTGCTTTGCCATTGCTAATTATCTGTAATGAGCTGTTGCAAGTGAAGCCAGTCTCTCTCCATTAATCCCGATAAGGTGGTAAAGAAGAAAAGTTTCTAATCAAGTGCCCCAAATTCTCTGAGTGAATACATGCTACAGCTGTACTGAACCCCTAACTCTCCTTGAAACTTCCGCCTAGCACTGCAAGTGGTAGACAGCTACATGGAGCAGCTCACCCAGCACATTAATGCTCCCTACTTACGACTTGGGAACGCTAAGGCATCACCTGCTTTCTTTCCTTCATCCTTCTGTGTGTTTCTTATTATCTTGAATTGTAAATGTAATATTGATTGGGTCCGCTTGAATGTCAGTGCTTAATAGTCCCATTAAAATAAAGAAGAACTTATGTAGTGGAAAAAAAAGGAAGCAGCAACACTGTCTCCTAAAAGACAAATGAATCACCAGGCCTGGTTAATGTCTCCTTTTCTGCAGCCTTAGTTCTTGGTCTTTAGACAGGTCTTCCCAGAAGATATATTGAGGCCAGGGAGATGACCATTCAGGGATTTCTTTAATCACTTTCCCTATAAATTGGTAACAGTACTGGCTTATCTTTAGCAAAGGATGTTGGTAGGTATCAGGTTTTGCCTGTAGAGCTATTTGTGGTTACTGGGCCATTTAT